AAAGCTCTCTCAGCTCCACCTACCTCACAGGGTGTCTGTTGTAGGGAGGGGAAGGGAAAGGAGATTGTAAGCCGCTCCGAGACTCTGAGAAGGGTAGGGTATAAATCCAGTCTCTTCTTCTTAAAACTGAACAACTGCAAAAGACTCATCTTTGTTGTAATTTAGATGCTAGGAGCCTCTGATACTTTTGCACCTGTGTCTCCCTGCCCCTTGTAATTCTTATTGGTTTTACTGATTCTGTTTTATCGCTACTAATATACAAACTCTCCGTGCTATTTAAACACTCAGCATTATTGTTCTTAGATATCTAGTCTAAGACTCAGTTCACTCCAGGACAGTACAGAAGCTGAGGATGCCCTACGTTTTAAGGCTGGAAAACTACCACACTTGAACAGCTTAACTTTGACTGAAAGCATGTTTGTTTGTTTGTTTGTGAAAGCAGAACATTTTGGCATGTTAAGAAGAAAAGAGATTTGGGAGACAGTTTGTCAGTGTTGAGCTTTCAAACCACAGAAATTTCTCAGCAGCAGGTACAGCCAAGTGAACAGATAAATTCAAAATAGCCATTTATAAATGAGAATTAAATTAACTTGTCTTGCTGTATAGCATCCAATTTTGGTTTGTCAGAGCTTAATTACAAGGCCATCAGTCTCATTTGGACAAGCAGATTAATCATTCGAACTCTGCAACATCAAGGGATGACTTGCATATATGAACAGCTCATACCTTATTTTTCACTCTTAAATCTCCAATACCCGAGAAGTCCTAAAGTTATTCTTTTAGGTCTCATTTCAGACAGTGTTAAAAAGGAGCATATAGACATGGCTTTAGATCTTATTTTGGCAGCCAAATCTTAATAGCCCAGAATTGGAAACTTGCAGCAAATATGAGCATCAAAGACTGGATTAACAAAATCTGATTTATAACCAAATTTTGAGTTTCAGTGAAATTATCCATCTGAAAGATGGAAGGCAGCTTAAACCATCCTTTCTGACATCCTGGAAACACTTTCTTGATTTTTGGCAGCTTAAATTGAAACTGGATTCAAAGGTATTTAGCTGTTACACTCTTAAAATGTGACCTGATTTAAGCATTGTCTCTTAAATACCTACTTTTCTATGCACACGATTTTGGAGTGTTAAATCGTTTTTACTTTTTCTTCTTAGTCACTCGTGTTCATAGCTGCATAAATGCAATCATCATCCTCAGGAACTTGCATTTCCCCTTCCATTATCTCAGACAAAGTGCTTTCTAGTTGCATGCAGTCCGTATACCGTATGTACAGAGCCCAAACACAAAGCAATCATGGACAGAGTACATACATGTGTAAATTAGGCCTATCTTTTCAACATTACTGAGGATACAAATGAAAAAACCCATGCTTTTATTAGTGAAGCATTAAATGCCCTCTCTGTCAATTATTCCAGGCTAAACCCATTGATATCAGTGGATTTAGACTGGACAGACTCTGCATAGGATTACATTTACTACTGGCCAAAGATAATCCAACCTCCCATAGCTGGGGGACAAAGGTGTTGGTCCCTTTGTTTAGTAACACCAAGACTCACTGAACTTGGTTTCCACTGCATGTCTCTACCACTCTTCCACCATCAGTCCCTAAATGGTTTCTTCTTGTATTTAAGGCATTATTTTAAAAACTCATCTCTTTAGTCCTGCTTTTCTTTCATAGTAGTTCTAAGTTTTCTGGATGCATTGGTCCTCCTACCTCCCAAGTCCTAAGTCTACGTGCAGGGCTGTTTCTTGCCAATTTTTGCATAGCCCTATAATAAACAAAAGAGCTGCGGTGGCTCAAGTGGTTAAGACGCTGAACTGCAGGCTGTGGAAGGTCAGTAGTTCAGCAGTTTGAGACCTGAGTTGCCACATGACGGAGTGAGCTCCCGTCTCTAGTTCCAGCTCCTGCCAACCTAGCAGTTCGAAAGCAAGAAATTGCAAGTAGATAAATAGGTACCACTTTGGTGGGAAGGTAACAGCATTCCGTGCGCCTTGGTGTTTAGTCATGCCGGTCACATGACCACGGAAACGTCTTCGGACAGCGCTGGCTCTTCGGCTTTGAAATGGAGATGAGCACCGCAACCCTAGAGTTGGATTCGACTGGCTTTCGAGCAAGGGAACCTTTACCTTTACTTTTTATAATAAACGAAGAGAAAATGACTGCACATGCCACGCCAACTATGTGGTCCTTTTGCGCTCACCCAGATTCAAGGACATGCTCCTTAACACATGAGCAGTATTCCCTCTCCCATTTCTAATAGTTTCTGGATGCATTGGTCCTCCTACCTCCCCCAAGTCCTCTTCTAAGTCTACGTGCAGGGCTGTGTTTCTTGCTAATTTTTGCATAGCCCTATAATAAACGAAGTGAAAATGACTGCACATGCCACGCCAACTATGTGGTCCTTTTGCGCTCACCCAGATTCAAGGACATGCTCCTTAACACATGAGCAGTATTCCCTCTCCCATTTCTAATAGCCAAGGGGGGTCCTCCTGAGGGCACCCCCAGATCTGCAGAAAAATCCTGAATGTTTAAAAATAATCAATCAACCAATACTATCAGCTATATCTAAGCAAATGCACACATTTTTAAAAAAGCGTTAAGGCAGCATATTGGGTTGCCCTAGCAATGTAAAAGCAGTCCCACTGGCCAGCAGGAACAGGTGAAAGGGGGAAGTGAACAACCTGGGCCAAGCCCCACACCCATTACTTCTCCACCACTTTTATTGTGGCAGCAGGAAATGGACACAAGCCCAAGGTGGGGGGAGCTAGGAGGGAACTGTGTTATGGCAGCAGGGATACAGATTTCATGTTCCCTCTTGTCTCACCCCCAAGAACTACAACTCAGGGAATAGATTACTGGACCTGCCACATAATACATTTCCAGTTATGGTTAGAGACACTGGTTATGGAAACTCTTATTACCATCTAGGAGGGCTTTTTAATATTTTAAAAAATTGAGAAAGGCCGTTACTTTGCCTTCTTGCTACAGACTAAAAATGCATGAAGGCTGCGCTGTCCTCTGCACATGCTCAGAGAGAGCCACAAGTAAATTCTTCAGGGGGGCAGCCGTGTTGGTCTGAAGCAGCAGAACAAAGTTTGAGTCCAGTGGCACCTTTAAAAGACCAACAACGTTGTATGCAAAGTGTAAGCTTTCGTGTGCAAAGCACACTTCTTCAGACAAATTGGAATAAAAATGTCCTCACGGCCTTTCCTCTAGTAAAAGTCAGAGCATCACTTTCAAAGAGGCTTGCAGTGATGGGTAGTCCTATAACAGCACTACGGATTTTTGCCAACATTTCTGTGGAGAAATGGGAAACTGAAGATGAGGATTCGCCTTTCAAAATCTCCCATGTGCTCTTGCCTAATAGTTCCCCTGCTTCGTACACAGAAAGCGCACAGGGGCAGGGGATTCCTCACATCACCAACCGTAGGGTGAGCAGCCAGCCAGTCCTCTCGGAGCTCCAATCTCCCAGGTTTCGGGGCATCCTGCTGCTCCCGATCAGACGGACCAGAGTCCTCAACGAAGAAACCGCGGCTCTCGGCAGCCCTGGCCTCAGAACTACCCCCCGGTGCTTCTTCCATTCCGTATTCGCGTGCACTCTGGCTTCGCTCCGGCCGGAGTCTCAGTATTTCTGGCACGGTTGGAAACATACAAACAAGCTCTAAGGTTCCACCTTCACTGACAAGCGCGAAAGTGTGAAGACGTTTCGGTACAAGCTCTGTTTTTGTTAGAAATTTATGCATTTACACCCCCCCCCTACACACACCTCCTTCTTAATCAAACCAGCATTTTTTTTTTTGCTAAATCAAGACGCAACATTATATGGTGGTAGTGGTGGAAATGTGACATCAAGTCGCAGCCAATTTACTGTAATCCGGTACAGTTTTTAAGGCAGATATTCAAAGGTAGTTATTTACCTAAGAATAAAAAAAAACAATCTAAGACTATTCCTAGGCATAGGCTTTTATTTACACTGGGACATTATATTGTGTCGTATGTACATTGTGTCTTATTGTACATTCAGAAATATATAATTTACAGTAATCAGTGAACAGTTCTAATTTTAAAACTTTTTAATTTTTTTTAAAAGCTAAAACAGATTTTATTTTTACGGTGGAGTGGGGTGTGTTGGGGGGGAGACAACATTCATCGCTCTCCATACCAATCCCCCCCTGTTAAGTCAATCACTTAACAAAGCAGTGGGAGTGATTCAGCAAGAACACAACTTTATTCTTCAACTCGAACGCAACTACAACACGGATCAACATCTGATAGCCAGAACAGCCTTTACATTGCAGCTGTCCTGCTTTTAAACATTCCCGGCTAATGTAGCCACACCCACTGTACAAATACCAACCAATAAGGTTGTTCACATAAAGACCAATCACGATGTTCCTGCTCAGGGAGCTTGCTTGAAAGTGATTGGTTAGGTGCTTCCTGGGCTAGTAACCGGATTGGATGGATTTGGATCCTAGCCCAGGACGAAGCTTTACATTACTCTTTAATTAGATGTTTCACAACATATCATGCATTCAAGGCAGGTTTGAATACACTACACCCCCAAACACAAATTAGTGCCCAGATCCTCCCACCACCCCAACTTCTTAATGGTTTTGCCAGATCGTTGCAATTTGGGTTTGCCAGCTGTGATGGGAGGGGGGCATAAATAAGATAGAGAGAGAATAAACCTTACTTGCTTTTTTATGTCAATGATCTGTAGAAACCAGCTCTGGGGATAGAAAAGGAACTAGAACAAGACATCTTGGATCCCACACCCTAAAATCACAGCAGGAAACACTAAATAAGATTAGGGAAGCAGTAGTCCTGAACTGTCTTCTTTGGACTCAGGGTTAGGGGACGCTGCAATAGAGACTAGCAAATAGAGGGTGGTTTTGTCTGATAGGGGACATTCTAGTACATTTTTATCCCTCCTTATCTTTAAGCAGCTCTGGACAGCATACATAGTTCTTCCCTCCTACATTTTATCCTCACAACCACCCAGTGAGGTAGGTTAGATGGGGGCCGCAATGTTCCCTCTAAGCTGAGTTAGTGTGAGCTAGCTCACAGTTTTTTAGCCTCCGGCTCACACATTTTTGTCTTAGCTCAGGAAGGATGGCTCCAGAGCAAACTAATTCAGGCAGTAGCCAGATCACTCGCTCACAACTTTAATGTCAGTAGCTCACAAAGTAGAATTTTTGCTCACAAGACTCCACAGCTTAAAGGGAGCATTGATGGGGGGAGTGGCTAAAGGTCATCTAATTAGCTTTGTGGCAGAGTGAAACTAAGAACATAAAGAAGAGCCCTGCTGGATCAGACCAGTGGTCCATCTAGTCCAGCATCCTCTTTCACACAGCAGCTCATCAGTCACTCTGGAGGGCCAACAAACAAAGCAAAAGAGGCCAAGAGAGTATCCCTCAGTTAAATTTTGTGGCATCCGTCCCCCTTCTTGATGATCAGGGTTCCCCGGGAGTGGCAGAGTGGCTGCTTTTTACTTTGGCAACTACTGAAATAAATATTATTACCTGCAAAGGTCTGGAAACCAAGCTGCTCTTAATGGCACAAGGAACAGGTGGAAGAAGAGTGTACAACCCTAATCCTGTGTTCTGTAAGAACTTCTGGTCTCTGTTATTTCTTCCCCTTCTCCTTTTTTTCACCAGTCAGTCAATAAGTATGATATTGATTTTTATTAATAATGATATTAGTTATAATAACAATAATTATCATATGTCAGTGGGTGTAGTATACCCAGGAGACCCTAAGATTGTCAGCCAGAAGTTCTAGCTCTTTTTGTGTGTGATGCACCACTCGGTGGTAGGCTAGACTTGTTTTGGGGCTGAGAGAGCTCTGAGAGAACTGTGACTGGCCCAAGGTCACCCAGCTGGCTTCATGTGCAGGAGTGGGGAATTGAACCCAATTCTCCAGATTAGAGTCCGCCCCTCTTAGCCACTACACCAAACTAGCTCAATGATATTAGTGTTATATAGTTATAATACAGACTTTTCGGAGTGTACAAAGCATTTCAGAAATGTTTTCCATTAATTAAAACAGCCCTGTAAAGTAGGTCAGCATTCTTATCCCTGTGTTGTAGGTGGGGACCTGAGGAATAGATTCTTTCCTACCTGGTAAAAGCCATGACCTGAGCAGGCTGTCGATGATGGGATGGTTTGGAGGTCATTAATTCATAGGGTCGCCATAAGTCAGACGCAACTTGATGGTGCGCATGCATACACGCACACACACCCCAGCCATGGCAATTGCAGGAATTAACATCTGCCCAAGCCCTAGCATTGTAGCCCTTTCCACAAAAACTGAAGGTGAATTATTCGCCATTTCAATGTTATGTCACAAGAAAGACGTTCTAGAACTGTGATCTACTTAAGCACCTCCTAAAATAATCCTATGAATTTGCAACCCTGAAAAAAGCTCTCTTTTGGCAATTGAAAGCATGCATGAGAACAAGGGTGGCATGTGAACAGGTTTTAAAACATTTTTTTTTCAAATGCAAAACTGCCGCACATGAATTTAAATTTAGTAACTATCCTGTCCCATGGGTAGCTATACTTTTTTTAAAAATCTGCAACACCCTTGGGAAGACTGATGAAGGAAGCTTTGACTCTGGAAAGCTTATACCTTGAAAATGTTGCTGGTCTCTAAGGTGCTGCCGGACTCAAATCTAACTGTTCAAAAGTATTCCATCCACCACCTCGTCTAGCCTTTCACCTCCGCCCTGTTCACACGTTACAATGAACGCACCTACACAACAAATGCACCAGTTTCATTTGTAACGCCTTGGCTCTTTCTCGGCACACAGATGTACACACGTACGTGCAAGATGTTACGTGCATTTCTTACCACACGTGAACAGAGCTGCTGTACCCATCATTCCATGGGGACACGGCGCTATTGGCCGGTGTTCCCCCCCCCCCCCCCTCT